GCAGCGGCTACGAACAGTGGCAGCAGCAGCTCCTGCTGCAAAAGCAGCAGCAGCAGCAGCAACTGGTGCAACTGCAAAAGCCAGTTGCATCCCTAGGGATAGACAAGGCGTCTCCTTCGCCTCTGCTGCAGCAGCAGCAACAGCTGCAGGTGCTGCCGCAACAGCAGCAGCAGTTGTTCTCACCTCTGCCGCAGCAGCAACCGCAGCAGCAGTTGCTTCCGCAGCAGCAACAGCAGCAGCACTTGCTGCAGCAGCAACAGCAATTGCTGCAACAGCAGCAGCAGCAGCTACTGCTGCATACCCATAGACCGCAGCTGCAGCAGCAGAGCAGTGCTAACTATTACCAGCAGAGACACCACACGCCAGCAGCAGCAGCAGCAGCAGCAGCAGCAGCAGCAGGGCCAACATTTTCAATCAACTAAACATATTTGTTTCGATGTTGCAGTGTTATTTGGAGTTTAAGTAGCAGTAGCAGCAGCAGCAGCACCGCAGCAGCAGCAATGCTGCTGCTGCTGCAGCAGCAGCTTTGTTGCTGCCGCTCGCAACGTCAAATATTATTTGCTGCGTTCGCTGCTACTGCAGCAACGGAGACAGATGTAACTGACAGCCAAGCAGCAGCAGTAGCAGCAGGCCGCATGCGATGCGCTGCTGCTGCTGCTGCTGCTGCTGCAGCTGCAGCAGCAAAACATTCCCTAATTTACTGTTTGACAGGCTGCATGCCCCGCTGCAGCAGCCGCTACTGCTTCACTAGTGACTGCAGCAACAGCAGCAGCAGCAGCAGCAGCAACTGTGTTTATTTGCAGCAGCACAACCCGCAGCAGTTGCCTTCGGCCGGCGCCAGGCAGCGCCTCCAAGTTAGCCTCTCCCCTCGCTGCATTTTTGCTAGCTAGCTAGCTAGCTAAGTAGTTGGCTAGCTAGCTAGCTAGCTAGCTGTCCAATCACTAGCTCGTACTCTGTTCAGCTAGCAAGTTCGTGGCTAGCGTCGGGTAGCTGCCTGCCTAGCTGGCTAGCTAGTTGCCCAGCTAGCTAGCTAGCTAGCCAAGTAGCTAGCTAGCTACCAAAGTAGCCAGCTAGCTAGCTAGCTATCCAGCTAGCCAAGTCAAGTAGCTAGCTAGCTATCTAGCTAGCTAGCTAGCTAGCTGGCTGGCCTATGCAGCGAAGACAAAGGGGACAGTTGCGGCTCTTAGCTAGCCAGGCGTCTATACACCCCACATGGAAGCAGTGGCAGCACGGCAGCAGCCGCAGCAAATCCTCCTGTTGAAATTCGCTCAAACATATTACGCAGCCACTGAACGTTGAAGCTATCCTGCTGCTGCACACACAACAGCAGCAGCAGCAGCAGCAGCAGCAGCAGCAGGGATAGGAGTAGCAGCAGGAGTAGCAACAGCAAAAAAGTAGAAGCAGACGCAGCAGAAACAGCAGCAACATGCAGGAAGAAATATCATCATGCGGAGGGCTTTAGCAGCAATTAAGGCCAAATGCAAAGGGTTTAGGGTTTAGGGTTTAGGGTTTAGGGGTAAGGGTTCTTTAAGTGGAAGATAACACAAGTTACCTGTCGTTGTCTTGCTGCTGCTGCTGCTGCTGCTGCTGCTGCTGCTGCTGCTGCTGCTGCGCATCCTCGCCTTCGGAGCCCGAGTGTACATCTTGTTGCTGTTTCTTCGTGTGTCGCTGCCGCAGCTGCTGCTGCTGCTGCTGCTTGTCCTGCTTGTGCTGCTGCTGCTGCTGTTGCTCTTGCTGCTGCTCCTTCTGCTGCTCTTGCTGCTGCTTGTGCTGCTGCAGTTTGTCTTTGTATTTAATAACTGGAAGGGCTTCAATCTCGTCAGGGTAAGCACCTCTGCGCCAGCGCGTTCCTGCTGCTGCTGCTGCTCGTGCTGCTGCTGCTGCTGCTGCTCCTCCTGCTGCTGCTGCTATTCGTCCCTCCCCTACTTGCGGCAGCGAAATCCAAAAGGAGACAAAAGTGGCGACGAGACGAAGCAGACTCACCGATATCTAAACCACAAACCCTAAACCCTAAACCCTAAACCCTTAACCATAGAGACACCCTAAACCCTAAACCCTAAACCACAAAGACACCCTAAACTCTAAACCCTCAAGCACCACTCTAAACCCTAAACCCTCGCACTCTCCTACCCTAACCGCTAATCCCTCCGACTCCCCTACCCTAAACCCTAAACCCTAAACCCTCTGAGGGGTTTATAAAGCCCTGTAAAGAAGACAGCAGCACTGCCTGTGTATTGCTTGCTGCATTTTCGTTCATCCTTCTCGCCACCGACTCCCGTCCCCCCCTAACCCTAAACCCTAAACCCTAAACCCTAAACCCTAGCTTACGGAGCTGACTGTCAGCTTCCACAGGCCTGCTGCCTCTGTGCAATTGTTTTGATTGAAGACCCAAATAACCCCTAAAATAAACCAGCCGTAAGACAGCACGCTGAGGGCCTTCGAGAAACTCCAGCCCGGGCCGCTGGTCATCCGCATCACCCTGCAAAGCAACGCAGCAAACCCTAAATCAGGGTTTAGGGTTTAGGGTTTAGGGTTTAGGGTTTTGGGTTTCTAACTGAGGTGACATGCTCTCACACGTTCAAACAAAAATATTAATAAATCTTCAAAATAAACACTCATCATTCAACAATATGCACCATGCATACGCTTTCCTAGGGTTTAGGGTTTAGGGTTTAGGGTTTACATGTCTATGATCTCGCGACGGCCACCTCGGCAGGTGCAGAGATGACAGAAAAATAAATAGCGGACGGGCAGCTGGGGTATTTGAAGGGCTGTGAAGATGGCGTTCCACCTAAACCCCAACGCAAACCCTAAACCCTAAACCCTAAACCCTAAACCCTACGCCCTAGGGAGCGCACTCCCCTCCACGCCAAACAACTCTAAACCCTAAACCCTAAACCCTCAATCTAAAAAGCCTCCGAAAACAGATCACGACCCATCTCAGAAGGCCAACAGTCCCGCTCTACTCAACAGCAAGGGTTTAGGGTTTAGGGTTTAGGGTTTAGGGTTTACAGACCATTGCAGGGCTTTGTTGCAGTCACAATGGCTCCAGTTCAACGACAAATAGGCAATGGTCGGGGCTGAGATGAGGACCCCCGATATCGTGCCGAAGAGCATAACAATCCTAAACCACAAACCCTAAACCCTAAACCCTAAACCCTAGAACTTCGCCCTGGGCTGTGCAGTTAAAGGAAGTTCAAAGAGGGGGTGGGTAAGGCCTTCTGTTGTGTTTAACGATTAGGGTTTAGGGTTTAGGGTCTTGAGTTTGCATCGGGTTTAGTATTTAGGGCTTTCATCTACACCCTCCATTAGGGTTGGTATAGAGCTTAGGGTTTAGGGTTTAGGGTTTAGGGTTTAGGGTTTACTTGATGAACACGAGAGCATCTCGGGGGCTTTGATCGACAACTTCCATTATAGCATCTCTAACTGGAGCTTCAGGGGCTTCAGGGCCAAGGAGGGCCTCCTCTAGGCGCTGCACCACAAACCCTAAACCCTAAACCCTAAACCCTAAACCCTAGACCCGAGAGGCAAGAGTGTCAGAACCCGGCAGCGCTCGCTTCGCGTGTTTATCAAGGTAATCCTAAACCCTAAACCCTCATCGAATAACCATCGATTTGCTTCGTCTCCCCTCAAACCCTAAACCCTAAACCCTAAAGCTCTAGACACTGCCAAGCCTGAGGGCGAAGGGGAAACCAGAGTGAGGGTTTAGGGTTTACGCATAGCTAGGGTTTAGGGTTTACGCATAACTAGGGTTTAGGGTTTACGCATAGCTAGGGTTTAGGGTTTATTCTGAGATAAGCTGGGGGAGGGTTTAGGGTTAAAGAAAAGAAATGATTATGGTTTAGGGTTTAGCATGAGACAGAGTTAAGGGCTTTCTATTTAATACTCTTTAGCGTTTGGGGTTTAGGGTTTAGGGTTTAGGGTTTAGGGTTTACGTACTGCATGTACACTCCCCAACCCCCGACCAATGCAGCGAAGCATCGCCGAAGCAACGTTCATCATTTTCCTGCTGCTGTTGCTGCTACTGCTGCTGCTGTTGTTGCAGCTACTACTGCTGCTGCAGCTCTGTAAGACTGGCCTATGAAAAAGCAGCAGCAGGCACCACAGCTCTTTCTTGAGGGAAGACTTCCAGTGAAGACGAAAGTTTATGAAGGTCTTGAAGAAGTAGACAACTGCTGCTGCACCTGCTGCTGCTGCTGCAGCTGCTGCTGCTGCTGCTGCTGTTGTTAGGCAATCTTTGCAGCTGCTGCCGATTTCAAAGGCAAGCTAGGCTTCTCTACAAACAGAGTATTTTCTATTTCATGTGCTGCTTCAGTTGCTGCACGTGAGCCCCGAGCAGCAGTAGCAGCCGTAGCAGCAGTAGCAGCAGCAGCAGCAGCAGGTCGTTCAGTCGGCTGCCAGCAGCAGCAGCAGCAGCAGCAGCAGCAGGTTGCTCAGTCGGCTGCCAGCAGCAGCAGCAGCTAAAATTAGAGAGTAGTTTGTGTATACAATCATAAATTTTAATATACTTTGAACAAACAATGCTTAGCTGTGTGTTGCTGCTGGCTGTACACCTCAACACCAGCTCTCTGCTGCTACCTCTGCTGCTGCTGCTTCTGCTGCTGCTGCTGCTGCTGCTGCTGCAGGAGCGTGGTGTGTATGCATTTGTTTTTAAATATATATATACAAGGTTGCCTGAGGGTTTATATAAAGAATAGCAAAATACTTAAAGATTAATTCAAGCTGTTTGGGTGTATATTCAGCTAGCGGAGTTGTCTATACAGATCAGCCTTCATACATATCAGGAGGCTGTATTATATATATAAATATATATATAAATATATGTATATATATAAATATATTTATATATTTATATATTTATATATTTATATATTTATATATATTTATATATATTTATATATTTATATATTTGTGTTTGGAGGCGAACGAAAACTTTCTTAGAATTCTACGCCCGTGGGGAGGTTCTGCTGCAGCAGCTGCTGCAGCAGAAGCTGCAGCAG